AGAGAGAGAGAGAGAGAGAGAGAGAGAGAGAGAGAGAGAGAGAGACGAAATCTTCGAGCTAACCAAAAGCAAAAACTCAAAACACATCCACAAAACGAAAGAGAAGAGTACGGGCTTCGCAGCATCAGGGGCGGTATCACATGCACGAAAATATGGAAGGCGGTCAGCTGGCAAAATTTGGCGTGAGCACGTTCTTCCGCGGGGTACTCACTGGCCTCGGTGTCCTGGGCCTCGTAGACGGTCCCAAAGAGTCCCCGACCGATGACCTCGCCGAGGACGAAGCGATCCCCGGGGTCGGGCAGGGCCCCGAGGCTGAACTCGGAGGCTGGTGGTCCGGCCCCCGCCATGCTGGTGTCCGGCTCGCCTGCACCAACAACACACGCCACTCAGCACAGCACTCGCGGCGACACGACGCACCCCCGCGGGATGAGCCTAACCTTGTGGATGACTAGCAGCCCGTCCCGCGGCCTGACCAGCCTGACCAGCGCTGACACCCCACTCCGCGCGCTCCGCCCTCACTGGGCAGCTCCTGCAGAGCTGGGGCCGCGACTACTCGCGGCTGAAGGGCGGGGCGAGCGGGGCGGGGCGGCTACGCCGCTCAACACACTGACCTGGCGCGGCACAGCAGGGAAGGCCCAGGCTGACGGTTGCTAATTGACCGGTACCCATCTCGCTCATGTATCATCTTTCTCTGTCGTGTGGAGCGCTAGGTCAGACAAACGTCTATAAACCGTCGTCGCGCCTACCGAGCCTTCAGTGCGATAAGGAAAAGACACACTTGATAACTAACTATGCAAAAAAACCTCGTGCATGTATAAATTGTTTATGGCTATGCACAAACTTGTGTATATTCGTGTACACATAGGCATGTAAAATTGCGATGCTTCCAAACTGTGCAAACGCACAACATAATACATCAGAATAAAGTGCAATGCACTTTTACGGAATTTTTGCAATAGCTTTACTGATAATTAGTTGCCGCCTAATTCTGGTATTCTTTTGCGAAAAAATGCGAAATTTTTGCGTTCCCTGGGCAAACGCCGAAGATAGCACTCAGTTTTCACTCTGATAAACTAAGTGTGCGACTGCTCAACACATGTAAGTGGGCCACTACAAGTCAAACACCTGCATTTGTAAGT